TAGTTGGAAGAATGCCTGTTGATTATTTAGATCAGGGTGGTGTTCGCGCAAAGCTACACGTCTTTATTTTTAATAGCATAAGACTAGAAGGAAGGCCTCTAGTCATCACCACCCACTGCCAACTCTTGGGCTACTCTTTTACCAACGGAAAGTGGGATTGACCGTCGCATTATAACACCCCCACGGTTGAAAGGGCGAGCATGTTTGGTGTGACGGGGACTCGAACGAGCGACCCGCAGATTACGAGTCAAGCGCCCTGACCATCTGGCCATGCCGGGCCAGTTCAGTAAGATCAGGTAAAAATTAATAAATGGATTTGGTTTTCAATGTTCATACCTGCGTTTCTGGTCGTCATTGTAGTGTTTGTTCTGAAGTTCCTTTAAGTCACCAATGAACTGATTGAATGACCTGTGATAAAAGTAAACTTCAATTTCATTAATTTATAAACATTAAAAATATATAGATATTTCAAGCTATTCATCTTGCACAACATAATATGATTATTTTGTAAGAAACAAACTTCACAAACATAACTTTAATATCAACAAACATGCATGAACGAGGCTGTACAAACAGTAGTCAAACCAGATAAAAGTTTATCATTGTTTTTCATTAATTAAAAGTATTAATTTTTCTTTCATTTTTCTAATGCCAATATAAAGCGCGTAAGTCAGATAATCAAATACATTTCACTCAGCATTCGTTAATTTACGATCTCGGTCAGTCAGAAACCCACTCGCCGGAAAAAATTCAAATTTCTGAATCCTTTTTTACGCAGGAAAATATCGGATAACATTGCCGTATGTAAAAAAATTCAGCTGTTTCGAAATTAGTTTTCCATTTTTGCACGGCACGAGTATGACCGAAGTTACGAGAAGGTCAGGACTATGTGAAGAATATAAATACGAAAAGAAAGGAAGCTGTAAAAGCTGTGAAATGTGCTTACATTGTGATCTTCAAGCTATACGTACAGCAATACATTACCGTGTTAGCCCCCAAAGTAGACGTGGAGTAATGCAAAACATCCAAAACCAGTAAAAAAGAAAAAAGAGAGAAGGAAGAGGCAGAGCAAGATGTTCTTATGGAAATGTGTGCTGAAGAGAGAGTTTGAACATTGAGATTGAAGACGTACTAGAAGGAAACCAGAAACATGTTTATGCTCACTGACTATGTATTGAAATAGAATAATAACATCATTGGAAATAAAATAACTCAAATATCAAACCATTCCGAATCTTTCCTTTGATTTTCTGGGAAGTCGGGAGGTAGCCGATCGTTTTCGCCTATTTCTCCTCGACCAGAAAGGATTTTTAAATTCTGAAAGTTGCTCTCGCCTTTTTAGACCATTCCGCACCTAGCGCGCACTTTCCCCGTATTTTGTTAATACCATTTTAAAAAAGTGCGCACGGCAGCCCAAAGGGTAGGTTTCTCGCTGACTGGGATATTACTTAAATGCATTTAGCAAACTTAGACCTCCTAGAAATTGAATTTCGATACCTGTTGTGGGCAGAGATCGTGTATATTTTGGCTTAACAACAAACAAGCCAAAATAACTTAATAAAAAAATGTATATTATAAGTTGACTCTGAACTATCGAAGTAATACAAGTTATTGTTTATTACTTACTCTCTGTCTATCGCAAGACATTCCACTCCTGGCTCTAGAGCTATGACATTAGCTGTACGCCTTTCCGCCCTAAAAATAAAATATTAATTCTTAGCTAGCTTCATGCAAGTTGTAATTAATGGTTTAAAATCTTAAGATTTATGTATATATATATACATAATGAGTTGCTAGTATGAAATACATTATATAACTAATTTATATATACACATATATGTATATAGATATTTCCCAGGAATGAATAAAACACGTTAAAGTTGTCAGAGTATAACTTGTAATATATCAAGTAGTTTCCTATGATGTATTTATACTGTATATATGAAGAGATTCTTCATACAACAAATAGGCTTGGAACCTTGAGTTGTTGATTATTTCTACATACCTTGATGATAATCTCGATAGAAAACATGCCCTGCTCATAATTTATGTGTAGTATATATATATATATAAATGTGTGTGTGTGTGTATATATATTTACGTAAATAATCCTCAATATTATTTCAAGAAATACTCCATTAATCATTCTCATATTCATTGGATTTAAACTTATTTTACGTTTTACCTGAGAAGAGCTTGTTCTCCAAAATAATCTCCTTTCTGAAGAATCCGTAGATCTTGCTCTTCGCCACGAAACACGTTTCTCCGCGTAATCTTAACCTATAGAATATCTCAGAGAAGTCAGTTCTATTGTGCTTTATTATTCTGTTTACTACTGAGAACCTAAATATATTATACCATCTTAATTTCGATTTTTAACAATTTATGTAACCATGCAAAAATGCTTTAATTTTATAATTTCCAATATTCATATTTAATTAACCCCATTATTGTTAAAGATTCCAGCATTCTAAAATGCATTTAATATTCTCTCCTTTAATTTAGTATATGGTTTTCAGTTGTTGTTTTTTCCCTCTAGCAACCATTCGATTAGTAAGATGGGAGATGATGAGAAGAACTAACCTTTCCCTTGATGAGAATGAAAAATGTATACCCTATATCATCTTGACGAATTACGTGTTCATTAGCTGGAAAAAACTCCTGCAAAAGTAAATCCAGTTTTAGTGTCGTCGTCATAAATCAGTAGAAATAGGACCGAAGATGTTATGGAATGTAAAACACTATACGAATCGTTATAAATAACCACTAAAGTTGAAATATATAACATGAATACTACGTTAATTTGAATGATGCTAAATCAAGATATGACCTATGTTTCCAGAAAACTTTATTTTATCATATGCTAAAGCTTCGAAATCTTTTAGAAGTAAACATGTAGAAATATATCAAAACAACTTGTCAATGAGAGTTATCTACTCCAGTTAGCGCTTATAATTTAAGGAAACAGAGGCTTGAGTAGCGTTATTTAGATGGGATATTTTACATATAATGATGGAATATCATATAGAATAAGACCATGGATATTGCTTACAAGCTCCAAAACATCAGATATCTTTGATAAGGTGTCGTCGTCCAGATTCTGGAGTAATGGTACACTAATGAAACACGATTAAGAAAACTGTTAGACATCCGGAAAGGAGAACGGTAAACAGGAATGATTATTTAATTTCAACATTAATAATTGTATAATATCAACGGATTTTAGTAAATATATTTAACATAGTGTGGTAACCTATCACAAATATAAAATGTTATATAATAAATATGAATCGATTTTTACTATAGGATAATAAGATGACAAACATGAATGATAAGTAAATACTGTGACAAAATTAAACGTATTATAACCAAAAATGTAGGAAATTTATATTATTTCTACATGGAATGTTAATTTGCTTTTGTAATAGAACGTCTTCTATGTCTACTTAATTAAATTCTTCGTATCAAGTTGAGCGTTTAATAAAATATTTCACGTGAATTACAAAAAACAAGAAAAACATGAAAAACCTGCGTAAGAAGTTAACATTTTCTCGTCGACGTTGGGTTCCAGCTCTCATCATAATAGCTTGAAAAATACGACGATCAAGCATCCAAACATTGGCATCAGTGGTAGCTTGTGTAAAGGATGGAAAAGGTAAGGTTTAATTTACTTCAACTAACTAGGTGTTTAATAACTGACTCATATTTACAGTGACCATACCTACTGAATATTAAATGTCATGTTTTGTATTTTTTGTTTTATATCCAAAACTATACATTGTGTTTTAGATTTCACAAATGTCATCTGATTTTCCAAAACTACTGAAAATTAAGATGGTTTTACCTCTAACGCTTGCAGTTCTTTTGCAGTTGTAAAGAATAGCCAGTTCTCCAAAGGCTTTTCCAGGTCCCATCCTACCAAGAACGCTGTCATCTTTGATAACTTCTAACTCTCCATCTGAGAAGAAAAACAACTCAAAATTAATGCTATAAAACAAGTCATTCTTTCTTATTTATTTGTTTCATTATCACTCATACAAGTTTCAACAGGTAGTTATTTTGTACATGATACTAGATATCCGGTTATTAAGTTACTGATATTCATGTTAAAGTTTAGATTTAATATTCCGGAACCATCTTAAACGGAAACAAGTTTCGACACTTTTGCGTGTCTTCTTCGATTCAAGTGTTGTTTTTGTTTTGTACTATTCGATCTAGGAAGTGCTACCTTTTTCTGCTTTTAACTAAAACTCGTGTTAAGACTTTTAAGTCTTTCAATTTATTCTTCGTTAATTTAGAACTGTTTTCTAGAACCATAGGTCCAATGTGTTTAAAATTCACACAAGTTTTCACTAAATGTAAGAAAGATAAGGGGAAAATAAAGTGCACTTTTGTTGTTGTTTGTTCACAATTTTTGATGATATTAAGTTATGTTGTATTAAACCTGAATTCTATGAATTTCATAAAGCAGTCGTATGTTGGTGCTTCTTCGAGCTAATGATAATACACTAACTTTGGGTATTTAATACAACCTTAAAGAAAATAGCCGAAGGTATAATATATAGTTTCTACGAGTACAGCTATTAAATTTTTCTCAAAAACGAAGAAAGATTTCAATTCTTTTGATACGTTTTAATTTTTGTACTGCATTACGGACTACATTTTACCCCCGTACTTGAAGGAAAAACTTAAATTAATTTCAATTCTTGCTTCGCAATACCAACTTTATGCCTACTGATAATTTGGAACAATGCTAAATTAACATACTTTTTTGTGTACATCTTTATTGGTTTCAGTGCTGTAGTATTTTATCATTTGGGTGTTGGTAGGTAATCTTATCTTATGCATTTTAACAGAACCTGATCTAACAACTGTGCCCCTAACAAAACACAATTCCCAGTTATAGTATGAGTAAATCTATTGATAACGAATCATGAGATTGTACAGGTATTTCATTAGAGCACAATTACCAACATATGTACGGGGAGATTATAAAGAAAAGTATATTTTTGGGATGATTTTATTTCAAAAGGAATAAAATTTCACAAACCAATAAAGATATACACAAAAAAGTATGTTAATTTAGCATTGTTCCAAATTATCAGTAGGCATAACATAATTACCAACATATATACAGGGAGATTATAAAGAAAAATATATATTTGGAAAAATTTTATTTCAAAAAAGAACAAAATTTCACAATTGGCATTTTGGGTATCATCAATTTGATTCAAGAAAATTTTGACATCATATAATGTGTTTTAAAATCATGCTATATTATATCACTAAATTACTTTTCTCGCAAACTACCATTCAGTTTTTATTTATCTTCCTTTGTCTTCTCTTTTAACAATACTACATGGACTATTTTCATAAAATGCTTGTCAGTGTGCATGATGTTACGTGGATCAATTATCACTGTCCATCACAGATGATTTCTGCAGTAGGTTCTTGTAAGGATGGGCTTGATGTGTTGATTGAGAATGTTGAAAAATATAATGAATACTGTAACATTTCTGAAACGCATTTTTTTGTTCCTATGGTAGCTGCATTGAATTGTTTGTTAGTAGAGAACCTGTCAGTCATGAACCACCTAGGTAGCTGCTAAACGTGTTGTCCATAATGCTATATCTAACATGTGTGGCGACATGTCACTGCATTAACATATGCACATCAAATTTAATATAGTTCAATTCTCAGTATTTTGCCTTACGGCTTCTGCAGACGCTGTCTGTACATAAAAGCGTTTTTGTCTTTTATTTTTAAGACAGATCTACTGTAGTACAGACAGTGCAGCTTGAAGACTCAAATAGATTATCTTAATAATCGTGTTCACACGCTCATTGGTGCATGCATGTAGTACTGTTTCAAAGGTAGTACATAAACGTATACCAGTGAAATTACCAAAACGGCTTTCGTGATATTATTGCAAACTGCAGTCTGTTCTGGTAATCAAACAGTGATTCGTTCCAAAACAATATATATGATCAAACATTTTTAGTGACAATAATGCTATAATAACAATATTTCAAATCGGCGTAACATACAATACACAAAAAAACAGTCAGTATATATTTAGTTTGTTTGTTTCTAATTATACACAAAGCTACCCAATGGGCTATCTGTGCTCTGCCCACCACGGGTATCGAAACCCAGATTCTAGCGTTGTAAGTCCACAGACATCCCGCTGTGCCACTGGGGGGGGGCAGTATATATTTAGATACAAACTAATAGACATCAGTAAGGACTGTTTGTGAGAAAATATGTTTAATTTTTGAGAAAATTATATATACTCAATATTCTATATAGTATTTGTTTGTTTGAATTTATGCACAAAGCTACATAATGGGCTATCTGTGCTCTGCCCACCACGGGTATCGAAACCAGGTTTCTAGCATTATAAGGCCGCAGACATACCGCTGTGCCACTATTAGGCTGTACTTATTGAAGGAATAAGTTCTACGTACGAATGAAAAAATAAAAATTAATAAGTTTGTTTGTTACGGATTTCGCGCAAAGCTACACGTGGGCTATCTACG